GAGAGAGAGAGAGAGAGAGAGAGAGAGAGAGAGAGAGAGAGAGAGAAGGAGAAGGAGGAAGGGAGAGGGAAGAAAGAGAAAGAAAGAATAAGACAAGAGGAAACCTTGCTGAGTTGACCACTGAATTATTGGATTCATCTTTTCTTTCCTTCAGTGTTCAGTGTGAGAAAACAGTGGGGACAATTAAGATTCAGGGTAATGAAAAAAGAGAGAAAACAATCCCTGTTTTGTCATTTGATGTCATCAGATCCTGAGATGGGGCTGCAGACTGCTGCTGTCTTGTGTTTTGTTGATGTTGTTTATTTCCCGTCAGACCTCTGCAGGCCTGAGGAAGAGGCCTGGAGAGGGATGTGGTTTCCAGGAGGGAGGGCAGGCAGCGGGTGTAGGTCAAGGGGGAAGAGGAGACTCGCCGAGTGTCAACACCGTTCAGCCTTTCAACCCGTCAGTGTGGTACCACTGCTTCTGCCACGGCCTGGAGCTTTCCCTGTGGCCCACATGTCACCTTGAATCTGACTTTATGTTTGCAGGGCATGGCTTCTTAGCCCCCTCCCCCTTCTCCCCTGCTTGTGTGCTGACCCAGCATCCATCTCTTTCTCTGCCAGGGTGGCCGGGTGAGGGCAGACCTCCTGGGCTCTGTGGCCTCCCATCACAGAGGGCACGGTGCCCGGTCCACAAACAGGGGGCAGCTTGACAACCCTCAAGTCCTCTTTTTTCTGGGCTGCTGCGAGAAGCCAAGCCCTGGGTGTGGCTTATTGTCAGTGGTGTTTGTTTACTCAAGAGTAAATACTTTGAGCATCAAGAGAAACTTGTCCAGCGTGGTGAGTGGGCGGGCCTGTTCCTACTGATGCTGCAGAGAGCCGGGAGGACCCCGGGGTATCTGACTTGCCTTGCTCGGTACTGGTAGGGGACTTGAATATGGTGCCCTTATATATAAATTCCTCAGACTGCATGTTAAAGCTGCATCTCAGAGCTTTGTAATGCTTAGCCCCAGGGCAATGTCTGCCGGTGTTTTTACTGTGTGCTCTTAATCCTAAATTGGTAAGGATTCCAGAGCAACATGTAAATATGCTCTGGTGTCAAGGCCACGTGGTGGTTGCAGCCTCTGGTTTGCTGCCTGCTAATGGCTCCTGAAAAGCCCACTTTCTGTCTCTTGCTTGGTGGGTGGGTGCTGCACAGGCTGTCATCAGAACCATCCCCTTTTCCTCCAATCAAGGATTTGGGACAAAAAACCAAACCAAACAAACAAACAAAATCCTATGGTTATTTGGGTGAAACTCCACCTACAAATAACCTAGATGCCTGGGGCCTTCCTATCACTTGGATTTTCTATCCTCTGGAAACTTTCTAAATAAACCTTTCAGTCATTTCTCAGGTGAAGTTGCTACAGCAACTGACCAAGTGTTTACAGGCTGATTAGAAACTTAAAAACTCACGTAAGATCTGGTTCACAGGACTTGAGGGTCATGTCCCTCACTCCTTTGATTTGGTGACCATTTTCCTAAGCACACTTTGGGTGTGTTTGGTGGGGGGAAACTAAAGATGACTGCAGTTGTTTTGCTATTTCTCTCAGGAAGAGGTGGACTCTTATATCCCTCCCTTTCAATCTGAGTGGCCTTAGTGACTTGCTGAGCCAATAGGAGGCAACAGAGATGATGCTCAGGGCCATCCAAGGCGAGGTCATAAAAAAACCTTGCAGCTTCAGCCCACACCTCTTAGAACCCTTGCCCTTGGGATGGTCCCTCTGGGAACCCAGGTGCTAACTAAGCCCCAAGGAGAGACACGTGCAGGTGGTCTGTTTAATAGCCCCAGATGGACTCCAGGTCAGCGGCCAGCCTCAATGGCCACCTTTCCAGCTCAGGCTCCAGGCTTGTGAGTGGAGGCAGCACCTTGGAAATGACTTAACAGCCCCCACTGCCCGGTGGGTATCACTCCAGATGAGAGTTCAACCACCCAGCTAAACCCGTCGTGAAGTTCTTATCCACAAAATTGCGAACAAGATAAAGTGGCCTTTTATTTTAATCGTTGGGGTAGCTTGGCATGTAGCAATAAGTAACTAGAGCATTTGATAGGTAGAAGTGTTAGTTCTTGGGATTCCTAGGTGTTGAGAAGGCTCAGTGCACCTAATCATAAAGGAAAAGGAGGAAGGGGCTCTGTGCTACCTGTTTATAATTTCTGTGTCACCGGATCTTCACACACCTCCTCATTTCCGTCAATCCAGCTAATCTGATTGACTAATTTCCCAGTTTTGTGTTCTACCTGGGTATCTTTTCCAGCTTCAAAGTGGCTTTTTTTTTTTTCATTTAGAAAATGAAGAAGCAGAGATTTTGTGACCTGGGGTGGTCCCTCTTTGGAGTTGATTTCTTGCTGAGTTTTACAGGACAAATCTGTGTGATCACCAGGGCAGAGCGATGAATGAAGCAGGTGTAGCCTTGAAGAGTTCCAGACCATACTAAAAAGGCATCTGGGTTCAATCTCATGTACCAAGTACAAAGTCATCTCATTGCAGCTTCCTGTAACCCAGTGTTAAGAAGATTTCTGAGGCTAACACTGGGCTCAGTAGGAAAGAGCAATATTAATAATTTGTGATGTCTGAGGGTGTTAGGAGTAATTAATGCTACAACTTGGGTTCCCTGTGACTGGAGACGGGGATCTACTAATGACCACTGATTGTGAGGCAAACTTTAGATGGTTTGTTGAAGTACTGTACTGAAAAAGGATCATCAACTTTGGAAGGTGCCCGAGAAAATTTCAGTAAATTATAGCTGTGAATCTTGGGAGCAAGGCCTAGGGAGCATTTGATTTATCCACTGAAATATTCATATATTTGGCAGTCTAAATTGGTGACATTAGGGATATGTATAGAGGAACTAAAAAGTACGATACTTGTAATTGGATTTATACTAGATTGTAACCAAACACAGACACACACACACACACACACACATATGCACACACATATATGCACACACATACACACGCCATGATAGGGTGGCATAGTGGAATGTACATTAGACATGAAATGAGAGACCTGGTGTATTTGTTTGCTATTGTTTCCATAGCAAAACATCACAGACTGGGCGGTCTAAACAACAGAAATTTGTCTTCTTGCATTTCTGGAGGCTAGAAGTCCAAGATAAAGGTGTCATCAAGTTTGGTTTCTTCTGCGTTGTCTCTCCTTGGCTTGCTGATGGCTGCCTTCTCACTGTGTCCTCACATGGTCACCATTCGGTCTGTCAGTGTTTCCGTACCCTCATCTCCTCTTCTTATAAAGACACCAGTCATACCTATTCAGGACCCACCCTAATGACCTCACTTTGATTTAATCACATCTTTAAAGGCCCTACCTCCAAATATAGTCACATTCTGAGATGCTTGGGGTTAGGTTTTCAACATATGAATTTTGGAGGTACACAATTTAGCCCATAACACCTGGGTTTGAGTTGTGCCTCTTCTACTTACTGGTCATCAGACCTTAAGTAAGTTATTTAATCTTGAGCCTCAGTTTCCTTATTTGCAAAATGAAAGTTAAAAAAATAATACTTAGCTCACAGGGTTGATGGGCAGGATTTTGATAACGTGAAACTGCTGTGTATGCCAAGTGCTGTACTTTGTATACATTAGCTGTGGATGAATAACCACCACTCATTTCAACCTCTCGTTAAACAGCTTCCTCTGGGATGGGTGACATTAATAACCAACATTTATAGAATTATTTAGAAATTATAAACACATTTTGCAGGTACAGTATGTTTATTTAATAATTTCAAAATTTGTGAGATTGTTATTATTAATATCATCATTGTTATTAGTGCCATCATTACACTCATCTGAGATGTAGGAAAATACATTTTGCTCTCTCATTTTAGAGATGCAAACAGACCCATCCAGGCTGTGTATCTCGTTACTGCTAACAGTTTTCATGATTTCAGTAACTGGTGGTGGATTGTCTCACCATTTAACCTCAGCTACAGCTCTGGGAGGTCTGTGTGTGCTGGTCTTCTGATTAGGAATGTGGGAGGCATAAATTGTTAGCCAGTACTTAGAGCTGAAGTGAGGGTCTGTGGCTTTGGCATGCTCTTTCCATCATGCTTTCTTATTGTAAAATGAGTTGTGCAGGGCCGGCCGAGTGGCGCGATG